CAACAGCTGCTGAAGGAATCAGTGCTCAGTCATTGCAGGGTGCAAATATGGCTGACTGCCTTCGCAGTGTTTATTCCTTTTTATACAGGTATTCCAAATAGCATAAAGTAAGATGGCATCAGCATAGCAACAGCATTTCTATTGGTGAAATCCCTTGCCAATCCTTAAGAATATACCAGCTAGGAGGCCCCAGCCAGGGAGCAGTTTCTACCACATCCTGTTGATGTAACCTAGCTGATATCAGGTAGGTGAGGTCATTGTATCAGCCTGGGGTAGTTTCCCACATTGCCATGGCAATGTGAATGGATGAGATCATGTAGAGCAGTGTTTCTCAACCTTGACAACTTTAAGATGTGTGGCCTTCAACTCCCAGAATTCCCCAGCCAGCATAGCTGGGGTTTGAAGTCCACACATCTTAAAGTTGTCAAGGTTGAGAATTCTGGGAGTTGAAGTCCACACATCTTAAAGTTGTCAAGGTTGAGAAACACTGATGTAGAGAGAAGAGGCACGCAGACTTTGGAAGGGCAGTTTGCTGCTCACGACCTCTACCTGGCCCCTATCTCTACAAGCTGCCAGTTCTCAGCTATTTTTGAATCAAGGAAATCTTGAATCAAGCTCAACTTCCTGTGACTTAAATGGATACATCCCTGCAGTTTTCTCGACAGCAATACAAATAAGTTGTCAATGTCTAAAATTCTGGGATTCTTTGATCAACAGCCCTGGCAATTTTTAGAGGTGCCATCCAAGGGACAATCGTGCTTGATGCTGCTTCGCTTCATAGCACTGAGACTGGCCAGGCTGATCTTAACTACAAAGGGGGCAAATGGTCTCCTTTCTCAACTGGAACTGTGTGATGTGACCACTCCTTCCTGGTGCTCTATTCATGGTGACAATGAATGAAAGAGGGCAGGAACACAACGTCCCACACAACGCAAAGGAAGCACCTTCCTCTGATGGTTCTTGGTTCTGCCCTTAATGGACCACCTTACAGGCTCTCAATGACCCACCATCTCCTCTGCGCAACACTCACCCTTTTCTTTATGAACTTCAGAGCTCTCTTGTCTTTGGAGACTTTGAGCAACTCCATCGCTCGTCTCTCATATGGCGCAAAACCGCACACTTCTCGGATCATGTCCCGCACAAATTTGGTGTGTTTGGTCAGCCGCTGTTTGGAGAAAAAAAACAACAGTGCAACAAATTTCCATAGGGAGGAGGCACTGGTTTTTTAGAAAGAAAAGTTCCCACATAAGGGCCTTCTACTTTTAACACGCATAGACATAGAAGCATGTCTTTAAAGCCTTCCCTAAGGTGGTACCATCCAGATGTACAACTTTCAGAATTCCAAGGTAGCATCAGGATAGGAAGACTAGGCAATAGTAATGTTTCTACTCTTTAGGAGCTTATGATCTACAACAATGAGAAAATAACAACCGAGGAGGTAAGTCGGAGGCCTCCTGTCCTAGGCAGACTCTTCACCCAGATGTATTGTGACAGACTGCTCCGAATTGCTGGGATAGCAATGTAAGATGCTGCAATACATCCTCCAAGAAAGCATTGGAAGAACAAATCTTGAGTGATATACAAACATTCTTCTACACCAAACATCTTTCATATGTTTGTCAGTACCCGAGGCCCTTTTTTTGCTGGAGATGCTGGGGACTGAATGTGACACCTAAGTACAAGCCACAGCCCTTTTCTATTAGAATCTTGTTAGCCATTTATTTTTTCATAGATTCAAGGCAACTTTCAAATAAGGTCAAACCCAAAGAACTGTTCCCATTATCCTAAAGTGATTCAGAATCAGGAATAAGGAGGGCTTGCAGAGTCTGCTACTTTAGGGGTCCCCAATCCCCGGGCTGCAAACTGAGAGTGATCCATGGCCCGTTAGGAACCGGACCACACAAGCAGCCGGTGAGCATGCAAACCTCTTTATTTGCATGTGTGCAGGAATTAGGTTGCGCGCACAAAACCGTCCTCACCCTCCCCCGCTGCTGCCAGTCCATGGAGCTAGAGAGGGTGGTGACTGCTGCACTACTTTATGACTCTTCTCCCACCTGCTCCAAAGTCCACACTTACCCCACGACGTCGACAGTGTCGGGGTTTAGACACATTCTTGGTCACTTTGTGGCCTTTATTCAGGCCAACGGCCATTGGATATCGGATCGCCATGGCTAGAAAAGAGCAGGGAGTAGTTATGATTAGTTGTGTACTTTTTTGTTCCCCCAATCATCCAAAGTGATGACAGTCAGCATGCTCTTCCACTCATGCCAGAAAACTGATCCACTATCTTTTCCTGGAACGCCTCACAGGGTTGTTTTTGTGGGAAAAGTAGGAGGAAGGCGTATTAGTGTGTACACTGCTTTGAGTTACTTATAAAGCAATAAAGGCGGGATAAAAATCTAATAAATAAAAATGCGTCTCTTGCTTCCAATTCAATTTCCTACAAGGAATGTGCAGCATTTCAGAATTGAAGGCCAAGTCCTTTGGAATGTAAACTGTCTGCAGCTCCATTTATCAATATATCTTTTCCTGGATGACTCTATAGCAGGGGTAGGCAACCTTGGCTCTTTTATGACTCGTGGACTTCAACTCCCAGAATTCCTGAATCAGCCATGCTGAGGGGAAAGAGAGAGGTTTCCAAACTGAGCCATGCTGGCTCAGGAATTCTGGGAGTTGAAGTCCATGAGTCATAAAAGAGCCAAGGTTGCCTACCCCTGCCCTATAGCAACAGAGGACAGCAGTACAATCTCAGGAGAAGATATGGCTGCAACTCCTTAGTTTCAGAGACAGGCTATATGTCCTCTGAAGAACCTTTTGGCTTTCAAAGCCCAGCACAGTCCTTCCTAACCATAGTATTTATTTATACTGATGGATTTACTTTTTTTCCCATTTATTAGTCTTTCAGAAAGATTTTAGAAAGATCCACAGTTCTATTTCAACACAACACCCCAAATAAAAGAGTTGTTATCAAAATGGTCAAACCAGACTTATAACCTCACAAATATACTGAGAATTATAAAATAATGATTGATTGGAGATTAATTTCATTAAACATTTTTGTTTCCTGGCATCGATATAAAATAAGACATTAGACAATTAACAGCCACTGGTGAAAAGCTGTCCTGGGTAATTAGCTACCTTTCCACAAACTAAAGTGAGTGTAGGAAACAACGCCAGTCATTAAAAAGGATTGAAACGATCTTCTCGATACCAGTTAAGAAACAGAAATTAGAGAATGTTTTGCATTGATACCCTACTTGCAAGATTCCTAGAGACAACTAGCAGGTCAACATGGGAACAGAATACCGGATCAGGCAGTCCTGGGGAATCCTGGGAGTTGAAGTTTATACAACTTAGCCCGGGTTGTGAGAAACACAGATCTGATCCAAGGGCACAGTGGCAAGTCACCCTGTATTTCTACCATGCTAAGCATGTGCAACAGATCTGATCCAATATAGCTGTCCTTCTGACCATCACCAGTACAGGTTAAGTTATTGCTTAAAAGCAGTCTAAAGTTGTACCAGGTACTGTAATAAGTGAAGATTCTACCAACATGCACTTGTGTGTATGCACTACTAAGCTGCTTTTTCCAGTCATTTTACTTGTTTTAAGAAAAGAGAAAAGTTTGCGGTGGGGTTTAGAGTGGAAATGACAAAGTCTCTGCTTTGGATGCCTCTCCCTGATTAAATGGCAGTATACGTTGGGGAAAATGGGGAGGGTCAATAGTAATGTTCTCCGGGGTCTACTCTTTGAAGTGATGTAGCACGGTGCCACGGACTATAATATTTTAACTGAGAATAAGCAAGAATGATTGTTGACTCAGGAAACGATAAAAGAATCTGGGACTCTTTTCTTTCCTTTTAAAACACCCAACCCAACTGTTTTGAGCCATTTGTTTCGTGCTTTTATCATTTTTGTTTATGATATTTACGAATCGCGTCAACCTTAGAAGACCGTGACGTATAAGAAGCAGAGGCAAGAAGGAACTCGTGTAAGTCCGAATTACAGTCTTGGGCAGGGGTAGGCAACCTTGGCTCTTTTATGACTCGTGGACTTCAACTCCCAGAATCATGCTGGCTCAGGAATCATGCTGGCTCAGGAATTCTGGGAGTTGAAGTCCACGAGTCATAAAAGAGCCAAGGTTGCCTACCCCTGGGGGAAGGAATCGTCACTAATAATAATAATGATAAAGTTTGAAGGGACCTTGGAGGTCATCTAGTCCAACCCCCTGCTCAGGCAGGAAGCCCTATACCATTTCAGACAAATGGCTGTCCAGTCTCTTCTTAAAAACTTCCAGTGTTGGAGCATTCACCGCTTCTGGAGGCAGGTTGTTCCACTGGTTAATTGTTCTAACTGTCAGGAAGTTTCTCCTTAGTTCTAGGTTGCTTCTCTCCTTGGTTAGTTTCCATCCGTTGCTCCTTGTCCTGCCTTCAGGCGCCTTGGAAAATAGCTTGACTCCCTCTTCTTTGGGGCAGCCCCTGAGATATTGGTGCACTGCTCTCATGTCCCCCCCCCCACGCTGAATCCTGTTGTCTCCCTCCAAAGCCCGCGGTTAGGCACTTTTTTTTAGATCTACCAACTGAAACGAATCAGGAGCCGTTTATTCTATTCCGAGTCCCTCGTGCCTTAAACGCCTAGACTTTTCCTGGACCCGACAGCCATCGCTAAGACACTTTTGTGACACGTCTTTTGCCCCCAGCCAGATCCGGGCCTAGACAACCCTCCTTCCTTTAGCCCGCCTGGCACTTCCAGGCCTCCTCGACTGCTCCGCGCGAACGGATGGACCCCGATCCTCCAAGACCCTCCATCCCCCAGCGAAACAACTCACCTTCCCTAGTTCTGCCGCAAAGGCCCCGCCGGAAGAGGAAAGCCGAAGCTGCGCGCGCAATACAACCCGCTTCCGCTACAGTCCCCACCCCGCACCACCGGAGCATAGAGGAGACCAGAGGGGCTACTGGGTTCAACGGGAAGTAGTGGAGGGCTGACGGTTCTTTCAATCCGGGTCAGGCGAAAGCGATGAAGACGGTGACCATGGAGGCTGGGCTGGGTTCGATGCCGGTGCCGCGTGCAGAACTGAAGCTGGTCCGACTGTTGAGCCGTTGTGAAGCGATGGCGGCCGATAAACGAAATCCGGACGAGTGGCGATTGGACAAGGTCCGGAGACGGGGGGGGGGGGATGACAGGCACAGGCAGAGATTTGACACGGGTTGTATTTTTTGCTCTGCATGGTAGCACTGAGTGGTCTGCCTGCCTGCCTGCCCTGTTCAACTGAATCGCGACTTTTATCCTATGAAATAAATGCATCGTTTGCTTTTCAATAAGGAACCGTCCCGTACCATTGTATTATTTTATGGCAGAATGTTTGCATTTGCAACGCTCGGTAGTCTCTGGCAGGGCTCTCCCAACATAAAGCCAAGTCAGAGGGGTTTCCTAGCGATTACGTGGACACCCCGTGTTAGGTTTTGGCTTAACCTTTGAATCAGTTTGCCACCGGCTTCTTCCAGTTTTTGTTTTTTCTTAACTTCCCAATCTAACTGCCGCTGTGGAATATCCTGGTTTCCCATCCAAATATCTGCTGAGTAGATATTTGTTTGACAATTTTAAGGCATGTGGACTTCAACTCCCAGAATTCCACAGCCAGCAATGCTGGCTGTGGAATTCTGGGAGTTAAAGTCCACATGCCTTAAAATGGTCAAGGTTGAGAAACACTGATCTACTCGATCTGATATTACTTAGCTGTTTAAAATCAGGCTTGCTTAACTAGGTGCTGCGTGGGCTGCTGTTAATGTTGGAAGCCACTCTTAGTTTTAGCCCATCGTGCAGCGACTGCACTCGCATACGGCGTTCATGCATGATTTGCATTGTATAAACTACAATTTGATTCAGATCTTGGTTAACCAACCAAGTAAGTGCTTGTTTGCATAGCAGACTAAGCTCAAACAAATACTATTTTGGTTTAATACAGTGTAAGCTAGGTCAGTGGAAACCCTGTTATAGAGTCTAGTTTTTCAGTCCAGTTTTGGCCACCGTGATACAAAAAAGATGTTGAAACTCTAGAAGGAATGCAGACAAGAGCAACAAAGATGTTTAAGGGGATGGAGATTAAAACATTTGAAATGTTGCAGGAACTGACTGTGTCTAGTCTAAAGAATAGAAGGATTTGGGGTGACAAGATAGCAGTCTTCCAATATCTGAGGGACTGTTGCAAAGAAGAGAGGGTCAGGGTCGGCTATTCCTCAGAGCACCTGAGGGCAAGACAAGAAGTAACGGATGATAACTTATCAAGGAGAGATCCAACCTAGAATTAAGGATAAATTTTCCGACAGTGAAAACAATCAGTGGAATGTCTTGCCTCCAGAAGTTGTGGGTTCTCTATCACTGGAGATTTTTAAGAAGAGATTGGACAGCCATTTCTCCGGAATGGTATACGGTCTCCTGCTTGAGCAGGGGGTTGGACCTTCAATGTCCCTTTCAACACTGTTACTCTATTCATCCAATAAATTATAGTTAAACAAACCTGAGTTCACATAAAATGCTAAGCCAAGTATGTTATATGAATGGGTCAGTATTTAAGACACGGTAACCCATTGTAGATGCACATGATTCAGTTGGAAGTAAGTGCATTGAGCAAATAATTTAAAATAATGGGTAATAAATAATGAATGTTCATATACATGACACAGTAGGGTTGCATGTATTATGTTGTTAAATGTTCTGAAAAGCTGTTGCCCCCTTAATACTACGGTAGCATGCTGTACTTGTCCTATTGCTGCTATTCTGTTTGGTGTTATGTTTTGAGGCCTCAGAGCTCTTTAGTACAAAAGGATTATTTCCCAAAGAAAAAAGGATAGCAACTTACAGAGGATTTGTAGAAGAAAGATGTTTAAATAAAATGTTAATACCCATAAAGTGCATTAATTTTCCCAGTAGATTCAGTATAATAATTTGGCAGTAAATTTTCATTGTAAGAAGTCACTTCTTCGGTATGTTTCCTTCCTTCCTTCCTTCCTTCCTTCCTTCCTTCCTTCCTTCCTTCCTTCCTTCCTTCCTTCCTTTTTTTTCTCATGAATATTCATGAGATATATGAGCATCTATAAACTGATATCAATTGTGCATAATATATGATGGTTAGACTGCCAATCTCCACTGGGTGTCTCCCTCTGTCCAACATACAACTGATAACCAGTCTGTTATTTTGTGATGAAAGAGATGGGAGGAAATGAGCCTTTTCCAATATCAGGTTGCCACGTCATGGAGTCCACTAAGGGTGGTGCAAATCTTGGCTTGGATTGGCAACACCCATTCAGATACCTGCTATGAAGCTTTAGGATAGTCAGTGCCAAGAGACATTCTCTTAATTAAATTCATCTTGGAACATGTAAATGTAAACGTGCCAATGTATTGTTATCGTTTAGGAAAGCCTTTTTAACTTTTTTTCACTGAAAAAGGCTCTGAGCATGGCTTATGCCAAATTGATTAAAAGCCAGACAATTTCTGCCACACAATCTAAAGACAGGCTGAAAATAGAAAGAGAAAACAACCAGATACAGGCATCACATTGTCAAGGCATAATTTTAATACTGACTGCTTGGAATGGAATGATCAGCTGACCATCATTTGTTTCCCTACGAGTAACGGAAGAAATACCCTTAATTTATTTTTATTTATCAACTTCTGAAACCGCCCATCTCCCTCACAGAGGAACTCTGGGTAGTGTACAAGTAAAATATTAAAACATAAAAGGAATATATACAATGAAAAATTTAACAGAGGCAAGGACGATTAAAATTCAGTGTTAAAAATTAATTAAAAGGCGGAGGGAGGGCTTTCAAGGCGATAAACAGTCATATGACTGCATGCTCCTCTGCATCCCAATCAAGGCCGCAGAGCCATGTTTTCGCACCTTTCTGAAAGGCCAGGAGAGTGGGGGGCCCACCTCACATTTGGGTGCGCCAATGTCCCACATGGCAGTGGTTAAATAGAAAAGACTCTCTTCCTAGACCAGAGTTCCCCAACCTTTTCGGCTTTGCACACTGGCGGCTGGTGGGCGAGGCAATGCACCCACGCCCTTGCCTGGCACTTCTGCGATCCGGTTCCGAAGGGCTCAAGTGGGTCATGGCCAGGGGGTTGGGGACCCCTGTCCTAGACCTCACATGTTGGAATTCTTTGGCTGACGGGGTGCGCAACATACTTTCTCTGCTTGACTGGGTGGGACAGGCTAATGTAATGGGACAAAGACGGTTCCATAGGTAACCTGGCCCCATGTCATGTATGGCTTTAAAGTAATTTTGTTGTTGTTAGTTGCGAAGTAGTGTTCGACCCATCGCAGCCCCATGGACAACTTTACTCCAGGCCTTCCTGTCCTCTACCATCTTCTGGAGTCGTCATATCTTTTTGCCCTTTTGGTACTGTCCATGGGGTTTTCATGGCAAAGATACTGGAGTGGGTTGCCATTTCCTTCTCCAGTGGATCACATTTTGTCAGAACTCTCTGCTATGACCTGTCCGTCTTGGGTGGCCCTGCATGGCATAGCTCATACCTTCATTGAGTTACGCAAGCCCCTTCGCCATGACAAGGCAGTAATCCATGAAGGAGTTTAAAGTCATAACCAGCATCTAACAAGTGAAGTAAATTAAGTAAATGAAACCTTTTAAGTTCAGTTTTGCTTTGGTTCTTGAGCATTCTGAGCCACATTGTTTTCTATTATTAATATTTAATCCTAAATCCTTTCAAATATTGATTTCTATTTCAGAATGTAGCATAGAAGGAAAAAACTGTCCTAAAGCATAATAACATACTTGGGTATTCCACAGCCTGTTAATGTAGTTCATTTGTCATTGACACAAACTCAGATGTCATGATTTAGAGTTTTTGCAGCCTGCTCAGAAACTAAACACCCGGAATACTGCAGCCAATTTTGATCACCATATCACAAAAAGATATTGAGAGTTTGGGAAAAATTCAGAAAAGTGCAACTAAGATGATCCAAGGCCTGGAGACTAAAACATACGAAGAATGGCTGCGGGACTTGGGTTTGGCTAGTCTAAAGAAAATGTTCAAGAAATAGGGGAGACATGATAGCAGTATTCCAGTATCTGAGGGGCTGCCACAAGGAAGAGGGAATCACGTTCACCAGAGCACCAGAGGGAAGGACAAGAAACAATGGTTGGAAACTGACCAAAGAGAGATTCAACCTGGAATTAAGGAGAAACTTCCCGACAGTGAGAACAATCAACCAGTGGAACAGCTTGCCTCCAGAAATCGTGGGCGCTCCGTCACTGGAGATTTTTAAGAAGAGACTAGACTAGACAATCACCTTCTGAGATGGTATAGTTCTCCTGCTTGAGCAGGGGGCTGGACTAGAAGACCTCCAAGATCCCTTCCAGCTCTATTCTATTCTATTCTATTCTGATGAGGTCATTGGTTAACTGAGAGCCAGATCAGATGCTAGCTGTCAAATTATAGTGTCATAATTGTGAGACTAAAAGAGAATCCAGTTTTGTTATTGTATCACTTCACATTCTGATGCAGAGAAGGGATTTGATGTGAAATATACGATTGGTTATTAGCAAACTATGCTTAGTTTATGGGAATAATTTTTGATCATACTTCCTTAGGATGTAGTTTCTAAATAATTACATTTTTAAAAAACTGTGTTGTTTTTTTTACAGATTGATGTTCTTAAACTGAGAGAATCTTACAGCACTTTAAAAATAAACACATGTGTTATAGTGTAAGCTGTTATGAATTATAATACAGTAAATTTCACTTTACATCTGATGAAATAGATTGTGTATTTGTTAGTTAATACAACTTTAAGGTGACATAAGACCTAGTTATTTTTACTGTGGCGTGCTAAGAGAACTACATCTCTAGAAATCCCATGACTGTTTACTCAGAAACAACTGCTGAATGCATTAGGAATTAGTACATTGTACACTGCATTGCAGCCTTAGTTTTTCTAATTTGTAGAATATAGTCAGAACCTCAGTTGGCTTTTAAAACAAAGGTGATATATATTGTAGGTTCTTAGCAGATAAAACTTACTGACTGCTGTTAACATTGACAGAATGTTCTGTTCACAGGCAATTTCCCAGTTTCAGAAACTGGAATTAAAGGGAAGTCGCTATCAATCTTAATAGCTGGAAAAAGAATGCTAGTTCCTGGTCCAACTTTGGCCTGATTTCATTAGGGAAAAGCCACTATGGGTGCCACTTCTTGGCTATCTGCGGGCTTCTCTTGTCATTGCAGTCTGGAGCTAAGTTAGGATGGCCGCTAAGGCTTTGATTCACCTGACCGAAAGTGCACTAAGATCCCACCACTAAATTTTTGTGGCAAATTTCTGGCCATAGAGCACTCAAAACATCACAGTGTTATCAACACTGCCTGCAGCCTCCTGTATTGTTTGAAGACTGAAGTACAGTTCCCCAGGCTGAAAACACTGCGGAAATCTATTGCGTGCCATTAGCCTCCTCTGTGAAGCTTTAAAATAGGCCTCGTTCCAATTAGAAAGGATTCTCTTTGCTGGAGAGTCACCAGTGCCAGAGAGAAGCACAATGGCTTTACCAGAACTGGGGAAGGGTTGCTTCTGCGTTCTGATGTATTCCTTGGAAGGAAGCAGATGTTCAGTTTTACAAAGAAGCTTCCAAATAGGGATCTAGCTATGAACAGCTCACCTCTGTTTTACAGGCAATACCTTTTTCTCCTCACTCCTCAGAGAAACATCATTGGCGCCAGTGTGGCATTTGGCTTGATGCCCCATGGCTTACTCTTTTTTTTTCCTTTTTGGGGAGACGTGTAAATTCCTGTTCGCCTCTTAAGGCTGAGGGTGGCGGGCTGGAGGAAAAGGTGGGGTTGCTATTACAATGGGAGGTATACGCTTTCGTTTATCATTTTTCCCCTTATCTGCCAAATTCAGGCATATCAAGTTCTGGAAAACTAATTAGGGTTGGCATTGCTTCAGTCCTTTAGGACCGCCCCAAGTTTCTCATCTAAAAAGCATCCTTTCAAACCACTAGTACAAGGGTGGGGAACCTTGGCTCTTTTATGACTTGTGGACTTCAACTCCCAGAATTCCTGAGCCAGCATGACTGGCTCATGAATTCTGGGAGTTGAAGTCCACAAGTCATAAAAGAGCCAAGGTTCCCCACCCCTGCACTAGTAGTTGCCCACTTAAGGCTGCATTTTGTTCTGTCCTCATTATAGTCCTGGGAGGTAATGCTACAACAGACGGCAACACAATCAAGGCTACTTTTGAGTTTTCATGCTTTAATGCAGTAGTTTTCAATCAGCAATTTTTTTTTTTTTATAGATATTTTATTATTTTTTAACTATAACAATCTCCAGTGCCTGGTGTACAGCGTGTTGTCTTGGTTTATATTTTAACAAGAAAAAAAAGGACAATGATAATTAATTAACAATCAATAATAATAAAATTTGATAATTCCATAATTAATATATTAATTAATGATACATTTCTTTGATCTTCCCTTCTCCCGTTTGTATTCTTCTTCAACCTTAGCCAAAATATAATTCTTAATATTTTCAATATATAAATGATTAGATATAGGCATTTTTTATATTTATACAAATGATAATAATCTATATATATAACATTTTTTTCAGCTTATATTATTCTCATAACCATCATTTCATTAGTTCAGCATACATCCTATTTTTATAATTTTTGTTCGCTTTCTGAGTCCTTATTGTTAGAGTTGTATTCTCTGAGTCTTCACTAGATGTCAGCAGTTATTTCTTTTTTCAGTTTTTCTTTCAGTCAAAAAGTTATTTTTGTTATATATTTTTATAATTCCATCAAAAAAAATTAGGGTATAATCTTCACAGTTTTTTAGTTCCTAAATTTGTCCAGGCTGAAATATTTTAAATCAAATTTTAATATATTTCTTCCCTCCTTTAATATTAATTCACCCCTTCCATCTGTAAGGGAATGGGGATATAGTCCCCTCCCTTCACTTCTGGAGGTTTTCTTGCTTTGGGGAACTTTCAAGGATTTATATAGTAAATAAAGAAAGAAGATCAGTACTCTCACCAATTCCAAGCACGCTGTTCACCGATGTTTAGGCTCATGCTCTGGGACTTCGGCTGCAAGCACTTGGGCTAGACGTTGATCACACTAGCCTTTCTCCTGTCGGGTTCGAAGGGCTTTCCCCAGATCAAACGAAGTGTTGCCGTCACTTCGTGATCAACAGGCCGCTCCTCCTTCATAGTCACCTCTCCGGGGCAATTTCGGACCCATGTAGGGTCCCCCAAGCAGGAAGAAACTAGCCGTGGGGAGCGGAGGTCCGCTGTTGCGCGGCCATGCGCTGCGGGCGCAAAACTGGAAGTCTCAACTAGCAATTTTAAGATGGGTGGAATTCAACTCCCGGTATTGTAGCTGAGGAATTCTGGGAGCTGAAGTCCACCCATCTTAAAGTTGCCAGGTTAAGAAGAACTGCTTTAATGTATTCCTGGAGCCAATAAAGGAAAATATTTGTAGCTCAGGGTTGAAATGAGGAGGGGTTGGTCCTCTGTTATTTTCTCTAGCTTGTTATTTTCTTACAGACATTTCATTAACCAAACTAGGTAACATCATCAGTGCTAGTAAGGAGTGGGGTTTGCTCTCAGTTTATATTCTAGTGGTTTGCCCTGTCAGTGTTGATGGGGCTGCTCTTAGAGATTCGTTGATTGGGTTGTTTACTGTTGGCTTGTTTGACAGTTCCTTGATTGGGGTGTTGTTCACTTGATTGTTGGTCTGATGTTAATCTTGGAGTTAATCTATGCTTATTTGGGTGCTGATTGCTGGTGGGGAGGTGTTTTGGTCTTTTTGTTCCCTTTTGGGGTTGTTGATTGTCTCTTTTGCATAGGTAAATATTGTTTAAGTCTATGTGTCTATTGATTTGATTGATGTATATTAATTTATCAGAGTGCCAGGCTTCTAGAAATTCTCTCACAGTTTTGGGCTTGGCTTGCCTTACTGGAGGCTAGAAGGCCACATTTGACAGATTTATGCTACAGTTATTCAAAATGTGCCCTTTTATTTTCTTCTTAGTACGTAGCTGCTCTGGAGGAGATGTTACTCACATTGAAGAAACACTCCAGGTGAGTTGCTTTTTCTAGGATTTATATGGGTCTGCTTCGGTACTGATCCAATCCAATTTATAGTTCTAGGAAGGTGAGATAGGATGGGTAGATAGACGTCACATCAACTGGAATTTGGGGGTTTATGTTCAGAGTTTTAATGCCAGGCCTCTTACAGTTCTGTCTTTGCAGGGAATATTCAGCATTATGTGGTAATCAATTCCATTTTAATTAGGTTATTTTGGCAAGCACAAAGTAGTAATCAGATTTCACTTCTAGCTTCTAGCTTCCATGTGCCATATATTGCAAAAGATTCTTGGAAATGAACCTGGTATAGGAAATGAGCCAGAAAATGACAATATAGAACAGGAATTGGTGGCAATTGTTCATTGCCTCTAAGGACAATCCTGAATCACTGTATCATAGATGGGAGATGTACAGCTTAAATTCCCATCATCCCCGACTACTGGCAATGCGGGTAAGGAAATGGAGTGCGAAGCCACAAATATATAGAATATTATTTTTATGGGCTTTTTTTTATTTTGCTATTGTTGCTGTCGAATTGAGCCATATCTTAGTTCCACTCCTTGTTAGACCTTCCCAGCTAGCCCTCCACTTCATGAGGACGAGAAAAGAGAGGAAGATGCATGAGGAGCCTCAAAGATGCTTTTTGAATAGGTAACTGGACTTCCTTTGTTTTTTCCTTGAAGACGTTTCGCTTCTTGGATGATAAGCGAAATGTCTTCAAGGAAAAAAACAAAGTCTAGCTGCCTCTTGAAAAAGTGCCTTTGGGACAATTGTGACCTGGATGATTGAGAATCTCCATAGACATGTATGAGGAGCATTTTTCTCTATAGTTCTTGTCTCAGCTTTGTGTTTTCGTTTCAGCAAACCAGCTCCTGAGGTACTGAATGAATATTCTCGTAAGGTGGATTTTTTAAAGGGCTTGCTAGAAGCAGAGAAATTGGTAAGGTCCTCCCTTGTGTGGTTTTTCTTTTTTAACCTTTTTGGAGAACCTCTGCTGAAATGACCCTCTGTTGGGAGAGGTCAGTCATTAGGTGCCTTTTGCTTTCTTTCTTTTTTTCCAGTCATCATCTTCTGAGAAGGCGCTGGCAAATCAGTTTTTGGCTCCCGGGAGAACTCCTACCACTGCCAAGGAGCGGACCCCAGCAACGAAAACCGTGCATCTACAGACCAAGGCCCGCTTTATGGACGAGATGAGGAATGAGCTGCTTGGTACAGTATGTCTTCTTAGCCAACACTACAATCACATCTCGTAAAACAGTTCCTCTTTAATTTTTGCTTCTGGGCATCTATTTGTCCCAAGTCTCTGTAGTACTGCTTTCTTCATCCCAACTTTCTCTGCCTCCCCCCTCCTCCTTTTTCCCTAATTGCTTTGTTTTTTTGTAATATCTTTTATATCAAGGTCAAATAATTAACTGAGGGACCTTGGTCTCTTGATTTAGGTGGAGCTAGTTGGCTCTTGATCTATGGGATGAAGTGGTACCTTACTCTCACTTTATGGGTCTAGACTAGAGGAACTGAGGTTATTTGGCAGAGGTCAAGAGATTCAAAATTGCAAAGACCCTTCTTATGCCATTTATTACTGAACTCGTTGTTTCTCCTCTCTTTCTGCCTTCCTAGGACCCTTCCTATATCAGTGGTAAGTGTTTACTGATCATGTGGGATATGCAAGGACTCTGGAGATTGCAGGACAAAATATTTAAACTCCCCAGTATTCTGCAACATAACACATGATTATTTATATCCTACTTCATTAGATTTCCCACTGATTTCTCATCTGGGACTATAGCACTGGGAATTCCCAACGGATCATTATGCCTATCTGATTGTCCTGAAAATTCCTGCGTATAACCAGGAAGCCAGATATGCCTGCTGCATTGCCCATCAGCAAATACTGGGAAAATGTCATTTTAAATTATATGCCCCTCCTCACCTCTGATTCTCTGTCAGCTTGCCTTTTTCTTCCTTACTGCTGGCTTCCCTCTTATGCGTAAAAATGTATAATTTCTGTTTGTATCTTTGCATCAATACATATTTTTAAGATTTACTAGGTAAACTGATTTCCAGAACAAGAGCATTTGTTCATTGCTTATAGATATAAATATAACAATGGGTATGTATAAATATATATATATATATTTCCCTACACAGATTTGGAAGAGAAAAATTTAAGGAAACGCATGTGAGTATTTGGCAGTTTCAAGGAAAGGGGATTGGGGAAGGAAGAGTCGCAATCGTTTTGTTCAGACTACATAAATACCTTGAAGTTTCAGGGAAATGGAAATTGGTACGAGAAAAAGGGTAATACTTAAGAATAATTTTGCCCTGCCTAGAGTTCAAAATAAACTATATACAGCCGCTTAGTTCCATGGTTTCATGAGAAACACAAGCCTGGGTTTTGTCTTGTTTCTGTTGGGAGATGGAAAAGTTCTGTTCCTCAAAAATTTTGCCATCTCCAGTTTTGGAAGGAATCTGTGTGCCCTTGGGTATGTGATTACCTGCTTGCAGTCACATTATACCTTGTGGAATATAAAGATAAATGATTCTCTGTGGACACCCTCACCACTTTACCTAAGAGAAGAACAGAATGACCAAGGACGGGAAAAAAAGCGGAGGGGGAGGGAGGAACTGCTGACTTCTTGCTGGCTTTCCCATTGAATTTCCTTGTAAGAATCTGATAGTATCCAAAATCTTCCCTTCCCTTCCCTTTTGATAGTTAAGTAGCTACTGTTGGGTGGAGGAGGGAGCAAGGAATTGCAAGACTGGCTGGGAAACTGTGGCCACAGCAGTTAGTAACCCTGAAAGAGCCACAACTTTGGGAAAGTCGTGGATTTTGGGCACATTCTGTAAATTAGCCCCCAAATAGATTCAAAATCGGTTACCTTGTGATGCACCCTTTCACCCAGTTAAAGGTCATGACAACGAGAGTTTCAGTGGTATATGGAAGATATTTTTGAGTATCCCACTTCAACATGCAAATAGGAATGCAGTTGCATCGAATGGCCATACACAGATATTGTATTCGTAATGTAGCTTTTCTTTTCACCTGACATGGGCATTTAATATCTTCTTTCTTGTATTCTGGACCTTTTATGAAACATCTGAGTATACACAATTGGTACCAATTGTATATAGGTCAGTTTTTTTTTAAAGTGTATCAATAAGGAGATCTTTCTCCCCATAGGACTCCACTTCCTGACGAGAAGCAGTCAGCTGCTGAACTGGATGCGGTCCTGCAGCATCATCACAACATCCAGGAGAAGTTAGCTGAAGAGATGTTGCACCTGGCGCGCAATCTCAAGAACAACACTCTTGTAGCACAGAATGTGATTAAGCAAGATAACCAGGTACGGCCCAGCCCCCTCCCCACAACTATGAACTCTATACAGCTATTTTGTAATTGTGTCTAATTTTGAGAAAGTGCTTGTCCTTGTCAAAGTATTAGGGGAGGGCGAAATAGCACTTGTTGGCATGGCACTTGAGCACTACAAGTTGCCCCTTTGCTGAAAAAGCATTTTTTGTTGAGTTTGTCCAATGATGTAATGTGGAATAAAGCAGCATTTTGTGCCTTTTCCTGCACCTGCCTGCATTTTGCTGGTTTTCAAAGCAGTGACACTTTATTGTTTGTTTCAGACCTTGACGCAGTCACTCAAGCTGGCTGACCATAACTTTGAGAAACTAAAGTCTGAATCGGATCGCCTGGAGCAGCATGCCAAGAAATCTGTCAACTGGCTTCTCTGGCTAATGTTGATCGTTGTCTGTTTCATTTTCATCAGCATGATCCTGTTCATTAGAATCTTCCCAAAACTAAGATGATTTCTGGGCTGGTGTCAGCAGCAGCCTGGCTCCTTATCTTATTTTATCTTTTTCATTTAACCCATCAAACCTTGCTGGGCTTTTGTAACTTGGTGAAAATGCTCAATGGGATAATAGTTCTGTTGCAGATTCTCATAGAATCTGAGCTAAAATGTTTTCCTCCTGCTTGAAAGACTCAATAGGAAAGCTCTTTCTGCATTGTTATAGTGGGATTAAGCAACCTATGGGACATATGCAACAGCCCAGAAGTTCCTCTTTGTATGGCCTACAGCTCCCCAAGTGTTTTAAATAACAAAAGGGGGGGGGAAACAATAGAAGTGGGGCTTCTGAACTTAACATACTTATTCATAAGCAAATAATCCCCCAAGGAATTTGGTGACTCACTGTGGGGGCAAAATAGTAACAAATCTCTTGGTTAGCAAAAGTTTTCCATTCCTGAATTATAAGTCAACAAAGACTCTCCTTTGCTGCTGGTGAGGAGCAGAGTAGGTGAATTGAAATCTCATGAAAATAGAATATGACTTCACCTACTGAGGTTGGATGGTGCTGGGGGGGGAGGTAATACTTAGCTGTTCTTAATTACTTTCCTTTCACAGACCATCTCAACAATATTGCTTTGGTCATCGGGTTCATTGACAAAGTACTCATTAGCATACAACAACCCAGGGCTATAGAAGCTTTCCCAATTTTCTTTGCTCTGGAATACTGAAATAGTCCTTCATGAGTATATTTCACATGCAAGTTTGCTAGTACCCCCTGGGGATTACTTACTCTGGGGGAGATGGTTACATTTCTAGGTAGACATTCATTCCAGGGTGATTGGCAGTTATGTGACCTTGAAGAATAAAAGTATGTCAGTGTTGACTCTTTGAAGTGAGTGCTGCTTCATGGAAGTTTAGACCTCTCTAAACTTACATTGCAGCAGTGTAAGGCTGAGGACAGCACCCCCTTTTTTTCATTTGATATATTGAGTCAGAACAAGGCCGTAAGGGAAGAATTCAGTTGAAGATAGAGTGGGCCTCATCTGAACATAAGAGGTAAGCTTGAGTATGAATTCATAGTCGGCTGGACTGTGGATGTTATTCCCTCTGCACATTCCAGAGAAATGGTAGAGAGAGCAAGGAAGTGGGTGGGTGGAGGTATTTTATGGGCACTTTCCATTAACAACCATCCTGAAAGTACCGCACCAGCAGTGTGGTTAATAATCTGTAGGAAACAGCAACTCCCCCAATTGGGCCTCAGCATTTTAACTTGGCATTTACACAGCAGAAGGGATAGGCACAAAAAAGTGTAATCCCTTCAGGGAGAGGAGTGTCACCACCTTTGCTGCTCACACAGAAGCTGCTGCTGCTGCTGTAATTTCTGAGCCTCTTCCCCCCCATTTCCTACCCCTTACCTCCCCAGTTGAAAAGTGCTGACTTGGAATCGGCTCATTAAGCTGTAGATGAGGCTGGCAGTTAACCCGAATTGCCTGTATGTTTGTTGCATTGTCAACCTCCATGTCACGACTTGCACATTATAAATTGTTGTTACTCTGATGTATTCTCTTGCAAGTTGCATGCAAGAGGCTCTTTGAGGTAAAGGCTGAGCCCTGCAAACCTTGAGGAGAGAGCTTTGGTACTTTCCTAGTGTCGTAAACATATGGTAAGATCATGGAAATGTCAAACTGCTGGATGAGAATGTAACTTTTGTCCTTCGCTGAGATAAAAGAACCCGTCTGATCCCAGATCAAATCTTGGTCCACTGCCCTTGGGTAGCCAATAAATTTAGACTAATAAAAGTCTATGTATCTTGACTGGCAATTCTTACCAAACTTAGTCATTTTAAAACCCTAGCCAGAAATGTAACACACCCATCCCTTCTGCTGTGTAAATGCTGGCTGGGTTGTTCTGGGAGTTGGAAGTCCACGCCTCTTAAAATGGCTAAGTTTGGTAACAGAGCCCTAGGCTTGCAGAAGAGAGATCAATCACCATCACCTATCAGGGATTGATCATGAAACCTCTATGCCACCATGTGCTCCACTGCTGTGTGATGATTCTCCAGAACTTTGTTTGCTTTGGCAACTTGGTTCTGCCATTTCCATATTTGCTATTAAGGTCACAATAGAAGATCTGATATTTCCTGTCTTAACCAAAGAAGCTTTTGGAAAGATTTTCTTTCTTATATAAAAGGACAGGATCTCCAGCCTTCCTGCTGCTTCCTATCAGTAGCTGGGAAGGATAAAGTCGAAAGATGATGCAGACGTGTACATGTTTCCAGATTCAGTACTTGCCAGGAGATTTGGGGAGCAAAGAAACATGATGTTCCAAGCTTTCAGTTATAGAACTAGTGAGAGATAAGGATATCCTCTGGTTTAGGAAGTTAGATTTAGAAAGTGGATGTCAGATAAAATACAAAAGTGGGAACATCAATATTGCTATATCTTTTTTGGAAGTATCCTTGCCCCAATACCGTAAGAAAATCAAGTCTTTGGAAAGCCCACCCATCATGTTTCATTATCTTGAATGAGATTATTTGTGGGAATCCAACTAATCTCCCCAGATTTAATCTGGTAATTTTGCACTATGGTTGTAAAGGTGAAATGTGTTGATTCTTGAACCCTGCAGCAAGCAAAAGGATGTTTTGCATATATCAGATTCCTGATTAAATGGGTGAAGTCAGGCATTCAATAAGAACAAAACTCTCTTATATTGATGGGGAAAAAGGATATAAATCAAAAGAAAAAGAAAAGAGGGAAATCTCAAAAGCACGTTGTATGATTTAGCAGTTGCACTGAAAAAATGAACTCGCACTAACCAAGGGGAAATTTTGGTTATTAAATGAGGGTGGGCCTGGAATGGGAATTGCCTTCTTCCTTCCTTGCTGCCAAGACAGCCCATTACATCTTGTCTCATGGGACTTCAATAGTGATGAATTGAATCAGTTTCATGCAGAAATTCAATTGCTAGTGCCTCCAAACAATTGTATCGTGCGTTATCTTGAAAACAATTTGTGCAATAGTTGTTTTGTGTGAGTTTAGACACAATGGGAACGGCCAACAATGTCAAATCTCAAGGATGGTGGTCAGCTTGATGGATGATGGGGCTGTTTTAGAAAAGAGGGCGAGAAATCTTACAGTGGAAATTCAGGTATCATGGTACTTGGGCTGATTCCTAGACCCTAAGCACGTCGACAAAAATAAATTCTTTCTCATGTGCTAACTTTTCTAGGGGATTGGGATGGATTGCAGCTCACTACTAAAGCTAGTCTCAATTCATGCTATAAGAAACAAGAAAAATTTAACCCATCTAAATGATATTTCTTGTTTTAGAATCAGAGTTGAAAAGTAAAAGCTGCTCAACAGCATAAGTAAAAATGGCAGGGCCCCTTGTATGTGTTCAGACAGAGATTAGATAGTTATTGGGAATACTTTATTTCGGATTCCTGCACTAAGGCAGGGGGTGAGGAATTGATTCCTAAATGACTCTGCCAATTCAGATTTTATGAATCATTTGGTCATTGAATCCAACTACCTTGGTCCATTCAAGAATCCAAATTGAAACAATCTGGCTTTCTAGCCTTTGCTTGAATTCAGTCAGTAAAGGGATGTCCACCATTTTCGATAACTGTCTAGTGCAGGGGTAGGCCACCTACCTGAGGAATTCTGGGAGTTGAAGTCCACGGGTCATAAAAGAGCCAAGGTTGACTTCCCCTGGTCTAGTGTATGCTATTGAATTGCTCTTTTTCGAAGATTCATTCAAAATTTCAAATACTATATGTCCTGGCCCTGGGATGATGGACCAGGTCTATCTTGGAGTCCTACAATTGTTGCTCTGAATATTTTTTTAAAAAATTAAATCCGAGGTGCACACTCCACTCTATTCAGCTTTAATTTCCCTTAAAATTCATTATGATTTTGTCTACATTTTCCATATGAAATACACAAAGAGGATTATTTATCTTTTGCTGTTTTCCTTTGCCATCTGAAATAAAATTACACTATCAAGACAAATTAGGAAATTCCTGGATGGAGTATGTTTGGCAGAATTTGTCTCCCAACAGATATCAGCATAATTTTTTTTTATCACAGTTTAAAACATCTGCCATTTATTCATAGTAAGAATCACCACATGGCTTTGGGGTGGATTTCCATCAGTACGCTGATGATACTCAGCTGTACATATCCACCCCGGGCCACCCCAACGATGCCCTTGACGTGATGACCCGGTGTCTGGAGGCCGTGAGGGTCTGGATGGGGAGGAACAGACTCAGGCTCAACCCTTCCAAGACCGAGTGGCTGTGGCTACCGGCGCCTCGGCATAGTCAGC